CCTTTTGTCTTCACGAGTGCTTTGTCCTTTCGCGCACTTCGTTTCCATTCACCTCAATGCTTCCTCGCCTGTCCCCGCCCTCGCCATCCGCTGGTCCTCTTCCTCCTTCAGATGCGCTGTTTATACGCGTACCTCTTAATTCGATATTCTGTTTCACGTTCGTTCTCGAACCTCAACGGTTCCACCCTCGCATCACTGCCACGTTTCTTCGCGGAACGAAAATTCTAAGCGACAAGTGAACCTCCGCGCTTTATCCAGGTTGCTGTACTGCTAGTCCATATTTTTGCGAATCGCCTCCGAATACCGAACGTTTCAAATATTACATTGTTTCGCTTGCTGGTACCTGTACAAATGAAATTATATTCTTAACCCCTTTCTGTATAATAACGAGCGAGGCTCTTGATAATGATGTCTCGATCAGTTTAGCAAAGATCGATATTATTCATTCCAAGTGGATCGGAGCGAAAAATTGTTTTATTGTTATCAGTGTTTTAAACCAGCTGTGCACTTACAGCGAGAACGAAACTTCCTTGCGAGAAAGAATCATTAAGTCTTTGCACTTCAGAAGTTTTTCATTAGAAATACTCAACATTTTATAATGAGATACCAACGACATTCATTCAATCTGACTTGACGAGAAATCGCACGTAAATTGAAGAACGAAAATATTTTCTTTCAATATTTCACACATCGGTGCATCGCACAAAGTTTAATATTACATATCAACTTTATAGTTTTGCTGTGTCAAACCAATTGGCGACTGAGAGACGCCTACGGAGTGCAAAGGGTTAACAGTAAACTCGTTATTCTGTTACTAAAGTGAATCTACCCACCATAATCGCGCAAGAAACGTTATGTCAAGTGGTTAACACTAGAATTGCCGTACCAGTCAAAATCACTGGCTTCAGGCTTCTGGTTTCGCAATTATTCAGAAAAGCATTTAATATTTGAAATCATCTTAAAAATAGTTCTACTTGAATACTATAATGAATGTCCGAAGAAAACTGAAACTAATCAATTCTTACAATTCTTACAAGGAACGTATATCAATTATATCAAATGCTACGTTTAATGTTAACAAATACTTACACCGAGGAATGTTCCCCAGAAATTCCGTTTCCATAAAAGCTCGCGCGAGCGTACAATTAACCCGACAGAAGAAACGATATTAACTACTTTCAGAGGCGTATCAAGGTCGTAGCATTCTAAGTAGCCGGACGAAACGTCTCGGCGCGGCCGAGGAATCTACGGGATTCGCAGGCGCCGCGTTCCCGAGCGGTCGGAACTTCCGGTGAAAAAGCGACGAGTCGTGGCTCAGCGTCGACGAACAAAGCACTAATTACCGTGAGCGGCGTTCCACCACCGGGCCGGAGCACGTCGTAAACGCACGGATAAGATATCAAATACCAGATGCAATTTGTGTTTCCTGCGTTCTTCGTTCTGTTCTCACCCCTCTCGTTCCTCTGTCCCTGTTCCGCCGTCAGTCGACGAAGGGAGTTCGGAGTCTCGGGCCCGTCCGGTACTTTAATGAAGGTATCGCCGCGATTAAGCGGTTGTAATCGCGCGGATCTCGCTAAAGGTTACCAGGGTGGTCGGTGGCCTCGAACGGAACTGAAGGGACCGAGGGGTGCGAACCATGATTCGTTTGTTGCGCAACCGCTACGGGGTTTCGGTCGGGATGCTTCCGGCCGATGTTTTTAATTAGTTCCACGATGTCGGTGACGCAGTTTAAGGTGGCAGCGGAGCGCGCCGGACACTGGCGCGCGTAATTGAAAGGGTCGCGGGGATGGCTTTCTTCGGTGTTCGCTGATTAGCTCGGGATTTGGGGTTCCGCTGGACTTCTTGCGACATTTAAATGGGAAATTATTGGTGATCGTTTATCCGGACAATTCGAGAAAGTGTTAGGTGTAGATAAAAATCGAATTCTTGAGAAAGCAGAGCTTATCTGATAGAGGAATTAAAGAATTAAAAGTGTACACAGATGATGTATAATATTCCTTAGCTCGCTTCGAGTATACATATTCCAAATACCGAACTTCATCGATAACGTTTCATCTTCAGAATTCTGAAAAAGCGAGTTCATTCGCGGAACTAATAACGCGGGAGGTTATCAGGGTTTTTACTCGAAACATTCTCAAGTATCTTCCCTGAAATCCAGCCCCTAAGATCGATCGAACAACAGGAACCTGATAAAGCAATTGTTTTCTGTCCCTTTAGCTCTGTTCTTTGATGCAACCCAAAAATTCCGGATGAAGTCAAATGAAATTTCGTCGACAGTCGAAACGGTGGGCGATCGAGACGACTGGTGTAGCGTTGTACGGGATTCGCGAGTACAGTCCTGTCGATTTTGTCACGCGTTCGCGATATTCTCCTTCGAGCGGAGAGAATTACGGGGTGAGCTGGCGAGCGAGGAGCGCGTCGCAGCATCGGAGGTTTCGGAACAGCACGGCGGCGCGCATCCCTGGCTACAAAAAGGAAAGAAAATCGGGGTCTGCAGGTGTAACGCCCGCAGCGACCGGGTGATAAAATGCGCGCGGACTTTCGATGCAACGGGGCTCGCTGTGAGGAGACTGGGACAGGGCAGAGGGGGAGTCCGGAGGAGAAGAAACCTCTCGCGATGCCCGGGGCTCGATAAAAAATGCAGTGATCACGTTTCGACAGAGACTTCGGAATCTCCAATCTGCCTACGCTTCTTTTGATTCCCACTTCGCGTTCGCACTCTCACTCTTTATCTCTCTCTCTTCTCTCTCGATGGAAGGCATCCAGAAAGACACTTCTGTTTGTACACAGATCTGTTTCCTGTGAAATTTAAGGTGAAGGAAGGCATAGGTAACGTGACGAGTAGACCATGGATTCTTATATATTTGTGGGAAATTTGGAAATACAGAATGCGCACGATGCGAGAGAACATGTGAAATATTGAAAGTGTGTAGAGCTTTTTGTAATATCTGTCGAGCTGAGATATTCTCGTAATTGTATTTTTTGATTGAGGTTTGAAGACTTGTTTAAATTCGAGTTTGTATAGAAATTTGTAATTTAGGAGTGAGGGTTTTGTTTCGTGTAGATTTGAACTGTGTAATTCGAGCATAAGCTTCGAAAGTTTTTGAATTGGCTGAGGTAACTCGGGCTTGACGGAGGCTGTTTCTTCTTTCCTTCGTGAAATATTTTAGCGGGATATGTTTCGATTTAATATTCGCCGCGATTTCGAACATTTCCAATTACCCGCGGCCGTTCGTTCCCTTCTGAATTGAATTTCCCCGCGTGTAATGGCAAAATGGCGTTGCAGTGATACAGCGGGAGAGTTACGGTCGCGAATGAACTGCTCCGGGGTCGGATACGCAGGTGCTATTGTTCTCAATTAAAAGTTAAGTTGATAACCGGACTGATTTGTTAATTTGAAAATGTGATTACCCGGCCGGTAATCGGGAATACCCGGCACCATTGAAGCAGCTTCATAACGGGAACTGCATTTAATGCATATTCGAACGTTCGAATATTCGTTTCATTGATGGCCAGACAATTATGGCACCGGCGTGGTTCAGTAATTCTTATTGTTTTTCAATACCTCTTTCTACTCTCTCTCTCTCTCTCTCTCTCTCCCTCTCTTTCAATTATTCAAGTGTTTCACTGCTGTTTTTCTCCCTGTTGTTTCTGTTTCATTCTTTCGCCATTCCATTAAAAACACATACGACACATTTATGCATACGTCGGATAACAAATATTTCTGATTTATTTTTCTTTACCGAAACATGACAAGTTTATTAATTAATTTAAGAGAAATGTTCATACCGCACAGTACTCGTAATTAAAATCATCCGGGTTAAGTCTGTTCCATTCAAATTCGAATTGTAAATACTGTGCAATTTCGGTTCGCGTATGTACTGCGCGCCGCAATCCGTTTTCAAACCCCCAATTTCTCGGGCTTTCCTATTGCAAACTTCGAGCCCTAAGCTCGTAGAGGCGAATAGCTGAATCGCGAAGTTCCGAAAGGGGTAAACTAAAAGGAAACAGGCTCTATCCGACCGCCGCGCCGCAAAAGCGTTCCGTATCTGCGGCACAGTTTCCGATCGAAGCGAGTCGAACTCCAGGAACGAGCATACAACGATCCGAAAAGAATAGTTTTCTTCACGGTCGTTCCCCGCTGAACGCAATCAATCCTTTCTCTTCGCAGCTGCCGGTAATTTCGAGGCTTAACCAGACACAGGGGCGTCCCGCGTCGATGAAGCCGAACTAGCGAGCTGCGAACCCGCGGCATTCAACGCTAACTAAAACTACCATTGAACACCTCCCTCGGTGCTCGAATCGCTTAGAACAGGTGGATCGCATGTAAGTGACTCCAATTTCCGTATCCCCGTTTATACATAATACCCGAGAAAATCATTCAATCCATTACGTGTCTACTTGAAGCTATTACTTTCGAATATTGAATTCCGTTCATACTCATTCTAAAAGACACGTTCACGAAAACCAATTGATTCCTAAACTAGACCAACTAGTATCTTCAAAACAATCCCGAGCGTTCTTTCCATTTCCAAGCCGTCCCTTCCTCAAAGCTATCGTTGAACCTTTCAAAACCATCTCCAAATGCACATATACTGAATATTCATCCAACAACAATACTCATCAAACTAAAATATTCAACAGAATCCGCAGAACAATACCGTAGTTGCAGTAACTAACCGGCAGTGCCTTGCGTCGATCATCGAACCAACGGAAACAAGGCGAAACAAACCGAGGACCAAAGGAACGCAATAACAACGGCACGCGAAGTACTTCGTAGAAGGGACGAAGGCGAAAAAAGAGGATTTTCGGGGCAGTGGGCTTAGAGCTACGTCAATACGAGCGCAACGTCCGAGACTCCGGGCGGCTTGTCGAGGTGCAGCAAGTGCCTGGACGATATGAGGCTGATGCAGAGAGTGGCGGTGAGCGGGCTGCTGTCCGTGATACTGATCGTCCTTCTGACGGGTACGTTCGTGACCCGGCGCAGCCTGGCGAACGTGGTCGACCGCGGCGTGGCGCCGGAAGAGCGTAACGAGCCGCTGAACCCGGCCTGGGTGCAGAACAACGCGATCCCTGGCCAGGACGAGCCGAAGAACGGCAACGATGATCAGCAACAACAGCAGCAGCAGCAGCAACAGCAACGGCGCGTGGAGTTCGCGAACAGGCAGTCCGAGCCGTCCGCGGTTGGACCCCCGCCGGTCCCCGTGCCCGGCCCGTATGTCATTAAACCGCCTAATCCGCCCCTGGATGACGTGACTAATCAGCGCCGCGAGAAGATCAAAGAGGTAAGCGGCCGTTTCGGCTCCTGCCGAGCCCGACCTCCATGCTGCGCCGCATTCGATAATTACCTGTGCGTGCCGGCGCGCTGCCTTTCGTGACTCTCGGGGTTTATTTTGTAGCAGCTTTTGAAAACGTGGCGCGAGACGACACGGTCCTCAGAGGCACGATCCGTGGGTGGCTCGCGTGGGTTGATTGAAGGAAGCTCGAATGAGATTCGTGTTGGTGAGGATGATTGCTTGTTTATCGGAGAGTAACGCGGTGATGCGTTCCCTTTGAAAAGTGATTGGAGACGTTTGCTGACGCTTTGGGGTAGATTTTTAAGGTTGTGGAAAAGGTCACTTGCTGTTCACTGTTCGTTAACTCTAAGTCGCTCGCAGTTGATCGTTGTCGTTAAGATTGGCGATCGGTATGGAAGATCGAGGTAAGGTTAATCTTCACTATTTTACGTTTACACGAGACGCTGGGAAGGGATTGAAGAATATAGGAACGGCTTCAGCATCGGACATCTGGTAAGTACATGTTGTGTTTCTATTCAGAAGAGAATGCCAATAGAATCACGTGAAAGGTAAGTGTATCGTTTGAATGAGAAATGTTGTATTCGCGTGATAGGTGTATTATTGTACCAGAAAATGTTCCGAATCGATGAAGTAGAGCATCGTTAAGTATGCTAAATGTTCTCGATGTGAACTGATCAGACTAATGTTGGGTTGCTGGCGTTTTATACTAGCACTTTACGCTACGCGTAAAAACTTGTTCTAGGTAGACGGAAATGATTCCGATGTGGTCGTTTGAGTACTGTCAATTATACGCGATCGCGTCGTTAAGAAAGTCGCACACAAGACGCAGCGCGAATAGGTAAATTGAGTTCCATTCCGAAACGTGGTTTGCCCAATTCGTGAATTATGTGAGTCCACTCGCAAAGCAAATTGCTTCGTTCGGAATGAACTATGTGTACCGGTGTTGGGCGAGACGCGCGTAACTCCGCTCGGAACATTTCGCAACTGCGAGCGGAGTTTGCTACGCCGCGGACTCGTGGCTACGCGCGCGCGACTGTATTCGTCGGGATCCAATTACAGAACTAATTATATTTCACGATCGTAAAAATAGCATCCTATTAGTCGAAACGGAGGTGAAATGAAACCACTGTTTATATAGAATTTACTGTTCACTTCGTTATTGGGAAACCGAGGCAAGGAACGCGCGGATAAACTCCGAATGGTTTCGCTTCTACAAATAATCGCCGTTAAACGCCGGCCTCGCATTTTTTGACTTCGATCCCCGTGCAGTTGGTACACAATTAAATTGAATTAATGAGTTCGGTATTTAATTGAATTCAATCGAAACTGGATTGCCCATGAAATTGTAGAGAGTGTTCTCTTTAGGCAATACGACTCGATGTATTGTGATAGTGGTGGATCGAATGGATTGCTTATTTGGATAAGAATATATAATTTTAGAGTAATTTCGTTGTTTTTCATTGACTGTGTACATAAGGGGAATCTGAACGTTTGTATTTTTTGTTCCAAAGTAATCAGAGTTTATTTAGACGTTTGAAGTCGTTGGGACTAGACGACCGTTCGCGCTCGATACGCCGCGAGGGGTTGCGTCCATGTATGATTCGCTGAACCGATCAATATCCTGCCATCTATTGTCATTTTTCTAGAAGCTACTCTCAAGCTGTCGATATCTGCACTACAGTATCTACAGTGTAGAAATGGTGTAACTGCAATTTGTATATTTAATCTTGGAATAAATGGAAATAATAGTTAATTTATCATTTCTTTCTCGCATATACCATTCTATGTTTGTAAATAATGAGTAAGTAATGTTGTAAATACTGTAAAAATACGACGGGAGAAATAAAAATCGAATACCGGTTGTTTTATAAAAGCATCTGAAACAAGAATTGCACTTTTGTAATTCCGCAGAATTTATTGGCAATTTCTCCACCGTTCTATTTTCCTCTCGTTTGTGTAGTTTTACGTTCACCGTCAACGCCAATATTTTTCCACCAATTAGACAAAACATTTCCGCAAATGTTTGTACACCGGCATCGCCGGTTTTCATTAACCGTACTAAGCCCTCGCAGTAAACCTTAAGTTCTCTCGGTAAACCAATAACACTGGCAATCTCAGACAACTTTCTCAATATTTGTATTAGCTGCGATAAGTAAGACTTCTTGCATAATACTTGTCTGACCCATTCTCGAAGCTTTACCGGAAGCCTTAAACATACCACACCGCTAAATGCTCAGACATCCCCATTTTTCATTCTTCCCCGTTTACCTTCGGCATTCTGGATATTTAAAAACTCTCCGTCATTAAATGAATACGAAATATTTACAATAACTTGTGCACCTACGAAATTTGCAAGTTGAATTTGAATATACAATGCATTACTATTAATATTATTATAACCGACATTACTATTTTTGTTGATTATTCAAGTAAACTTTCGCGGTCAATACTACATTCAGTCAACTATAATTAACTAATAAAATTGCTACTGCAGATATTAGAGCACAATTAAATTCAATACCCCACCCCCGGTAATTAAATAAAGAAATCAAAATCGAATTAAACATTAATTCCTATCAATTCATGTCAACGACCTAATTCTGCCGAAATACGCGTGAAAAAATAATAAATAACAGAAAAACAAGAATAGAAAAATTGGTAAATCAAAATTTAATACCCCTGATCACCGGCAGCCACGAAATCGCCAAAAAATTCTTCCGAAAATGTCTTCCGAGGGTTAATCCGCACGTTTTAATTCCTTATTCTCCAATCTGCTCTCCGAGTCTTCAGTTTTCATTGGTCGAAAATGATGTTGACCGTGTTCGTTCGCACTCGTTCAGCCGTCTTGCGCGTTGCCGGTGTTCAACGGTTTCAATTAGCGGATCGAAACAAATTCAACGTTCAGTAGCGATTGACGCGCGGAACGGTAATCGATCGGATGAAATAGATTTACAGGAACAGCGACGCGAGAACGGGGAACCGGAAGGAGGACGAGAGGACCGATCGAGCTTACAGAGAGATAATCGTACCCGGCAGAGTTCCGCGCAGCCTTAATGTGATTGACTCATTATCGTTCGGGATCTTGCTACGCGAACGGAATTATCGACGATATCCACTTTACTGTTCTTCGCTAAATTAATCACGCGGAAATGGCGAAGGCGTTTCGGCTTCGGCCCTCGGCCCGTCCTCTCTCCACGGGAAAGTTTGACGTGGCGTCCCACACCCGACACTCGAATCCCGTAATTCCATCAATTCGTTTTCCCTTCCTCGATGATACCGCGCCATCAACTTTCGTTCGAGCCACCGATCCCTCCCCAACCGTTCTCACAGTTAATACTCCTTTAATTGGCCGGGAGGAAGTTTCCACGGTGTTTCGAACACTGTATTTCGCGAAACTGTAATTGCTGATAGTGTTTCGCGCTTACTCAGCTGACGGTGGTTGCTATCTCCGGGGAGATTCGCCCATCAATGTAGAATCGTAGACTTTTACCAAGCGATGATCCGCAGAAAATTTCCGCGACTTTCGAGTTTGCGACTGAAATCGCGAGAAGTGGTTCAAAGTTGGCGGAGAAGGTTGAAAGAATTGGATTTGCGGAGGATAGAAGTAAACGCGAATGAAACGTCCGAATTGGACTATCAACGCTAAATACGCATATTTCTTAAACAAAAGAGAAACGATTGCTCCAAGCAGAAGACAGCGAAAATATTCAAACAGGTACAATTTGCATTCCACCCTGATACCGGCTCTCCAAACAACAGCCGTATATTTGCCTCGTACCGTCACCGGATGGTTCATGAAAATTCAAACTGGCGCGGACAGTTCTCCGGTTCATTAACATTTTATTCAAGCATCCGAGCTTCGGGACACCCGTTATACGCGTAGCCGGAGGAAAGCAGAAAGGGCAAGGCAACCCTATTGGGACCGGCTTTCATTCACGGATCAAAGAATAAGATTCGCGCGAGAAGGGCGGTGGTTTCGGCCTCCCTTCAAAGAATAATTCTCGCTATTAGCCTGAACGCGGCACAATGCGGTTCGGTCCATGACAATAAACAAAGACATAATTATCGTGTACCACGGCGAGGGTCGTCGTCGGTGTAGAATTCCGGTCCTCCTCGTCTTTTGCCTTCCCCCGTCTCCGTTCTTCGTTCACGAACCTCTTCGTTCGTCTATCGCAGTCAATCCGCAGCAAGAAATAGGTTCTCTGGGGCCCGCTCGCACACATTCGAGGTGTTACCTGTCTGCGTGCGCTTGTTGCTGGCCGTCTAAGACGCGCGGAATTCCGTGTCCCGCCCTTATGCCACGTTCCCATGGTGTTACCGCTCTCACGTCCCGCGTGACCGGCCTGAATAGCGTGTTCGCCGTGCACCGGCGCCGAACGATACTCCCCCGCATCCGGGGAACACCGAGGATCTACAGCGAATTTCTCCTCGTTTGTGGAAATACCTGTTCCGTCGCCTGAGAAATCCATCCCTGCGTGTTTCTTCCTCGCGACCAGCGGACATTGGACTGTTAAGAGACCTGACGATCGTCGTTAACGCAGTCTTCGAGAGATTTACTAGCTGACCGTCGCGTTAACTTTCACTTAAGACAAGTCTCATTAGCGACAGCCGTTGCTAAACTGTTCCTAGTCTTTAGATACTTATACACGAATCCCTGAAATCTAGTAATAGATTATTCGGGAGTCTCTGAAATTTAATAGAGTTTCGAACGTTTTACGTGTTTTCAACGGCTGAGCATAATCGAATGGTTCCTCTCGTCGATGATAACGGTTTAGTTATAATTTCCACGGTGGGTAATATATCCCATAGGGAAAAGGGGTATCCGAGTTGCTACGGGAGAGGAGAGGAACATTTCTATATGACGGTTATAAATGTCTCGGGGGTATTCGTTCTCCCAACAATTCCACCGTAGATGCAACGAGCATCCTTAACTGTGGCGCGAACGATTTTCCAATCGAAGGGACCATGGGAAAGGGCAATTGCGGCCT